ACTGTCGATGCTACCGCACCTTGGGTATGTTGCGGGCGGGTTCTAGTCGCTATTCATGTTGCTATGTTGCTTTTGGTTGTATGCCTTATTTCGACATGTAGTTGCCTTGGTTTCCTTTGGGTGGTTGACATAGGGTTAGCATGTCAATTAGTTTGGAGAGGTGTCTCACGGTTAACGGTTTCGTGTCTTTTGGTTGATCTTGAGGCTTTTGGAGTTGTTCGTTAGGACTTTATGATCTGTTCCTTGGTATGACCATGTGTTCGGTCCTTGTTTGGTTCTTCTGGGGATGTTCCTAATTTTGGGGACGAAATCTCTTTAAGGAGGGTAGGTTATAATGACCCGGTCATTTTCCTTCATATATATATATATATATTTTTTTTCATTTATACGGATTTTCTTTTTTCGTTGATATTTTCTTTCGCGTAACCTCACTTTTCATGTTTGGATTTGATTTCTGACTTCACGTGCTCTCATTCCATTTGGTTTCCTCGAAATGCATAGCTTTACTTTTATAGAAAAGCTTGTTGGTCATTTCTTTTTCCCGTAGGGGCGTGGATACAAAGTTTTTTCAGAAACATTTTTTTTTTTTTGGGTGTTTTTCGTAAATATCTTTTGAAGATATTTTGTCTTAGAGGTTTTTAAGAAAGTATCTTTTGAGAGATATTTTCATTTAGGTCATCTATGCAGCTATCTTTTTATATAGGGACCTTTATGCAATTAACGAAAGTTAATTGTAAAGTGTCTCTTTTGGGCTTGGATCCTCGTACGGGATTCATTTTTACATTCGTCAAATCGCGTACTCTTAGATTTATCTTCCGGTCGTTTTTCCCAGTTTTAGGGTTTTTGATCCTGGTTGCCGCTGAACTTGCTCGGGATACGAGACTCGATTTTCGACGCCGTTTCTTCTATTGTTCATTTTTTATCATGATGGTGCTTTTTCTTTATGGACTTTTTCCATTTGAGTGCGTCTTGATAGTTTTCACTTTTCGGGGCCGCGCGGGGCCCGTTTGGGGCATTTTTTGGGATTTCTATAAATAGGGGGTAGGAGAAAGAAATATCAGATTTCTTTCCCCCTTCCCATGGCTGCCACCCCTCCCCTTTCTTCTTTCTTCTTCCTTTCTTTCTCCGTTTGATCTCCTTTTTCTTGGATTCTTCCTTTGCCGATAAAGGCTTTGTTGTCGGCCTCGGCGAGACCTTGAATTCCATCCAATTAGAATCCCGTTTTGGCCATTTTTTGACTTCAAAATTTAGCTTGGGTTTGGATTTTGGTGTTGCCTCAAGAGGGTTTGTCATTCTCCTCGGTGTCCCTTTCATAACCCCAAATTGGTGTCGCATTTGGAAATGTTCCGTTTTGGTGGCTTTTGAGATTTCATCTCAAATTGAGGTAGGGGGTTGTTGTATATTTATATTTTTAGTGTTTTGGTGTTTTGGGGTCTTAATATATATTGCTTACATGCTTGCTAAATCATACTCTTGTATGTAGATAGAAAACATTTGAATTGATTTTGGGTTTAATGAATTAAAAGCATATTTAGTGTATATATGTGTATAGCTTGTTGAATTGTAGCTTACATATATATTGTATAGCTTGTTTCATGATTTAAAACATGCCTAGCTTATATATATATATATATATATTGTGTAGAGATATCATGATAATTAATAGCTTGTTGAATTGTAGCTTATATGTATTAAATAGCTTGTTGAATGATTCAAAGCATTGGAAGCATATATATCTTGTCGTAAGTAAATTGTTTCACTTACTAGGTTGCTTGATTCTAGAGATTTTTCATGTTAGGATGACAAACTTTTGTAGAATAGTACATTTAATTACCTTGTGAGCATGTTACTAACTTGTTGTAAAATTAGTTCTTGTGGCTTCTTAAGATGGTAATTTGGCTTAGCATGATATATGATATCATTGTCTTGTATAGCTTGTATAAATATATCTTGTATAAGTTTATTGTTTATTTAGAATATCACAAATGTTTACCTTAAAAGCTTGATACTAAATTGTAGCATATTTAGTACTTGTGACTTATGATGGTAACTTGATTTGGTTATTATACGATATTCTTGTTTTATGTATAAATTGCATATTGAAGTTGTCGCATTTCGTATGCCATTTAGACTTGGAACTTCAGGACATGGTTTGTGTGGCTTCAACCTTACTTGTGTATGGAACGTGGTTTCTTGCATTATTTATTTGTGTATGAGTTTTGAACTTGTTGATTTTGGAACACTTGTAAGGATATAAGATATGTTACGGCTAGGGCTCGGCTCTAATACGGGAGATAGAGAGCTCCTTACGATATATAGTGCGCACTAGGTAGTACCTTGTGGATCGTAATTACCCCAAATCACTTGTTTGGTTTTGAGACCACATGTCCTAGTCTTTCCATTGCTTAATTTTGCATTCAATTCCAAGTTATTAATCATTGATTACTTGTAGCTTGTGATTTGGCGTTTGCATATTTCAATTGCTTAGTATACTTGTGCCTTATATACTTGTTTCGTGCGCATATTGATTTTATTTAGTATACTTATGCCTTGTATACTTGTTTCGTACGTATTTTGATTTCATTTAGTATACTTGTGCTCCGTATACTTGTTCATAGGTTTTTCAATTTAGCTTAGTATACTTGTGCATTGTTTAATTGCTTTACGTGTATTTCAATATTAATTGTATACTTGTGTATATATACTTATATATTGCATATCTAGTTCCCATATTATTTAGTATACTTGTAAGTGTATACTTATATATGGTACATTTCGTTTCAATATTTCTTTGTATACTTGAACATGTATACTTTTATATTGTATTTCATTTCAATTACTTATGTAGCTTGAGATGATCCCTTATTTCATTTCAATTACTTATGTAGCTTGAGATTATCCCTTAGTTCACCTTGGAATATAGACATTAGGAGGAATGATCCCTTGTAATGATCTATATTGAACTTGGATGACACTTTAAATTTTAGGGTATGCGCATGCACTTCTTCCTACGAGTAACTTGTTTACTCACCCTAGTTGTTGGGATATTTTTTAGGTACAGATACCTTGGTTTAGAATGCACAACATCCCTAGGTTACCTTGTTTATTTTAGAGTACCTTGATGCATTTTCACGAGCATGCATGTGTAAGCATGTGTCGTTTTGCCTTCTTAAGTTGTAATGCATAGTAATGTCACTTTTGCCTTGAAAAATGTAACATGTACCTAAGTATACTTTTTGGCACTTATTATATATGTATGAGATTTGGCCAAGGGCCAAACTCGGAATTACATGTATGCACTTAGTGTTGAAATTTACTTTAAAGGCAATATTATGAAATTAAGGGTTTTGATATATCGTTTTTGCTTTGGAGTATGTATTGTGTATGTAAGTTTACTTTTTGAGGTTCATTTTATATGTATGAGGTGTGGACAAGGTCTAAACACCACTTTGTTTACATTTATGTTGGAATTGTAAATTGCCTTAAAAAGTAATATTATGAAATTCAAGGTTTTAGTATGTCGTTTTTAATTCGGATTGTGTAAAGTGTGCGTAAGCATACTCTTTAGGACTCTTTTTATATGTATGATGTGTGGCCAAGGGCTAAACGGTCTTTTGAATGCATCTATGTTCGTTGATTTCAAGTTTTGCTTTTAAATGACATTTTTCACGTTTTGGAGGTTTGACTGTTATATTTTGCATTTGGAGTATTTTGAGGTCATGGACCATTCTAGTGCGCTTAAATATCCATTTTACGTTTGTGTGCACCATTACTTTTGCACACAACACCTCATTTCATGAAATGAGCCACCTTTGGACTCAATTTCCATTTTATTTGCAAAATCTGGTTTAAGAGCATTTTGGGGCTTTCACTTTGAAAAATAAATTCTGACATTGACACAGTCACTTAGAAAATGTGATTTTAGGGGGGGGGGGGGGGGGGGGGGGGGGGTTCTTCACGAACTTTTTCAAAAATATGTCGTCTTGGTCTCGGAAATCTCGTTTCAAATTCATTTTTCTGGTTTAAGCATTTTTCTCAAAATTTGAAACTTTAACACTTGGTACCATTCGTCGACTTTTGTTCGAAAACTGTGCCAACCGTTTCGGAAGTTCCGGGGGTCTTGTGGGTGTATTTTAGGGTTGCATAATCAATTTGGATAATTTTTTGACCACCCGAACACCCTTTTCCATTCCCTTGGTGGTGCATTCAGCAGTTTGGTGTCCGGACGCAGCATTTTGCGTCCACCCACCATTGTTTTGGCCTTGGCGTCCGTCCGCGGGGTATGGCGTCTGCCCCCAATGCATTGTTGGCTTGCGTCAGCCTATAGACCTTGGTGTCCGGATGCATCCTTCTAGCCTTGTGCATTTAGGCAGCCTTAGCTCCCGTTTTCGTTTTGGCCATAACTCTCTCGTTTGGATTCCGAATCAAGTGATTCTTGAGGTGAACTTCGTTTATTTTTCGTTGTCTATCCAATGGTGTACACAATGGCACCCATTTCAGTGTGAAAAGACCATTTTTGCCCTTGGGGCTATGTACACTTGGTCTATTTTCAATCATTGTTTCAGGGATTCGTCTCGTAGAGTTCCGTGATTTCATGGAAGGTCACTCTTGTGTCTTAGGAATGATGCGCATCCCTAGAGACTTGGTTTACGTTTTTGCTTCTGCATTTCGGATCAACTTTTGAGTCATCATAGGACGCACTGGGTTGTAAAAATACAGGGCCGTCACATTTGTGTATAACAAGGAATTGGGTTTTTGAAGATTCCATAAATAGAGATGTGTTTGGGTGGAAAGGTAGAGAGAGAAAGAAATAATTGTAGAGAGAAAGAAAGGTAAGTTGAGTTTGTGATAAGAGAAAGAGCGTGTAATAAAGTTTTGAAGTAAAGATAGTCGTTCTTTGCACGTGAACGTATGCAATTTACTGAACCACGTGTTTGTGTGTGCTTTTATCTATTTTATTTGTCAATAGTGTGTGTGTGATCCTAACAACTTTGAAGAAGTTTTACCCCATTACAATACATGTCCTTATAATATTCAACATACAAATAGGAAAATTGCTTTATTAGCAAAGAATGATACAATATATTATGACACCTTTACTATTACATTACAAACGAAGCAACAATGCTTCTTATTGATGTGCAACATTCAATTTCCACATCCACAGAGTGCCACCATTTCAATTTGGTGGTTATTAAGAGTATTGTGAAAACTTTCCAATTGGAGAGGACTTGTTAGCTTTGAGTTCATGGTCAATCCCCCATCTCAGCCATCAAAATAGAAAATTCTTTCTTTCCACGATGTACTGTTAAATTAAAAATAATAATAAATAAATAAAAGAAAAGAAGGAAGAAGGGCGGGCTGCTTCATAAAAAATATTAAGCACGCCGCTGCCAGAAACCACATACCCTGAACCTTAAAGCGTTCCCTGTTAGCTTAGAATTGTACTGGGCTAGAGAAAGTTTGTCCAAAAGCCCAATTTGATGGGACAATGTTTTGGAAAGCCCTGGTCTCTCCGTCAGTAGTAGTGACCATGAATGATAAAGATTGGCCATTAAGATAGGAATTGGACTGCCAATTAGCTCCCCAATTTCTTGACATTGGCATCCAACCCGTTCTTGAACCTTTGATGGACACTGACGTAATAGATCCAGCCCCTCCCACATTGCTTATCAACACCAACTCAAAGTAGTCTCTCCCATTAATGGTAAATCTAACTCCACCATGTTTCTTGCATGGTACCCTGCATCATAAAGTCAAAAAAATTAAGCCACAAAATTATAATAATATAGGAGAAATTATTACATGGTTCTGAATCAATCAACACTTGATAAATCAAGTAGTCTCTATCACTATTTCAAATATGGTCCTAATCACTCATAAAAAATCATGTGTCAGTTTTATTAATAAAAACGACATTGAAAATTCTGAGTTTAAAAGAAAATCGCAAACTTCTTTCACTATTTTCCTATTGCTCTCCAATTTTATATTTTCCCCTGGTTTATGATTGTGCCCAATAATTTTGAACTCAAAGCAGCAAGGAGTATAATAATATAGGAGAAATTATTACATAGTTCTCTACCAATCAACACTTGGACAAATTAGGTAGTTCTTACCACTACTTCAAATGTGGTACCAACCACTCATAAAAAGTCATGTTTTAATTTTATTAATAATCATTATTTCTCTAAATTTTATTTAATTTTTTACTAATGTGTCAAATGTTGGTTGGCTTGAACCATTGGTCCTCAACCATATAATAATTTCTTGTAATATAGTATAAGCCATATGGAAGAAAATGATTTAAAATAGATATCAAGTCAGAGCTAACTAAGACCTTTGGTAAATCACTGGGACAATGCCACCTCTGTAAATACCAATCTTTTCCCAAGCCGGCTGAGCCATGTCGAAATGCTGGAGGGGAGGGTTGCACCAGCCTCCGGCATTGCTCGGAAGATCAGAGTTTGGAGGGCAAAAGTTTGTTGCGGTAATGGTCACAGAAGCTCCTTTCTTACACCATGTTGGGTCCACTTTGTAATCACATATAATCCTGTAGCACTGCCCACACGACGCTCCATCACTAAACAGTGCAGTGCTTAAAGCTGCAGTCCTCGTCCCATATCCAGTCGCGTACAAGTTACCATACCCACAAGCTCCACCTGTTCCCAAGCAAATCAGCCATTAAACATTCTTAGATTTAGTCCTTGTTCTGATTCGTTTCTTTTTCAATGTAACAAAATGAAACTAAATAAATAAGTAGACGAAGATAAAAGAGATAGATATATAAATAAATACCCATTGTCCCAGAAGCGTCGCTGCCTCCATAAAAAGTGGCATGACCCTTTGTCCAACCAGAAGCCGCGAATGCATCAACATTTATGAAAAGGCAGCAGATACCAACAACCATAATCGCCAACACAATATTTGCCATTTCTTTCTAGTCAGGCAAGAATTGATGGTGAGGATGAAGAGGATGGATTGGGATTGTTGGATCTTACAGTTAATGGCTTCTTCAAACACAAGAAGTGCCTCTTAAATAGTGATCAGAGACTTGTATGAAGCAACAACCTCACATGTGACCTCTGCAAGTAGAGAAAACTAAAACCCTTTTTTAAAAAAAAAAATTGAATTATATCTGCAAAGTCTGGAGTATTCTGAACCTCATTCAATTATTCCCACGTTCTCTCTCTCTCCCACCGCACCCCCACATGGATTTCCCAACAGATCGAAGAACCGTGAATTTTCACATTCTTTTAATGGTTTTGGATTTTCACATTCTTTTTAATGGTTTTGGTTGTTGCAATTTGAAGGATGATACAACATTTTCAATGGGCGAAATGGTATGGATACAACTGCACATGGCTCTTCTTTGACCATATATGGTACAATCCCGCAATACTTGTGTCATGCACGTGCTTTTGACATTTGATTACTGTGAGTTGTCATTACTTCTCTCCCTCGTTTTACTAATTAATAATAAGCTAATACATGTGTGTAGATCCCCCTTAGATCAATTTCCCCATTGATTAATATAATTAATCTCAACCGTAGAAGAGTTGAGTTGCAATAATTCTAACCTCACATCTTAGAGATTGAGAATTTAAATCCTCTTAAAATTATTTATAAAATTATTTTTGATAATTATTCGATGAATGTGCACCAGACCCCACAACAAATAATAATAATGACAACCATCTTTCTCTCTTTTTCCTTATATATATATATATATATATATTTAATTGATACATCATTGTTTTTATCTTCCTACATTTAGATTATGGTAAAATAGAATGTAAAAAGGCCAATATTTTTTTGGATCTTGAATTTCCATGTGATGATTACACCGTCAAGCTAGCTAAGCCACAATAAAGTTTATTATTATTAGAATCCAATATGAAGCTAGATCAGAAAAAAAGAAAATAAAAGAAAAGAAAAGAAAAGGAAGGCTATGACAGCTGCAAAACCGCCACCTAGTGATGGAGAAGAAAATGAATGGAGCAATCATTGGGTTACAATATGAAAGTCTACATGTGTGCCTATATAGGTGACACGGAGAAGCTATATGATTCATAAATTGTGTGTTTAAATAATCAGAATCCTCTTCGATGCAATTGTATTCCACGGTGCGTGAGAAAGAGCTTAGATCATTCATGAACTGTGTCACGTCTTTGTTAACGCTTTTGAGTGCCACTATGAAATATTAGGCACTAAAGAATTAATCAAAAATAGCTCATACCAAAAAGTTAATAACAATGTCAGAAACGTTGCTTTTGGCTTTTGGAACTTGGAAGCTGTTTTGTTGAAGAATTTTTGGGTGCATTAATTGTTTACACCCTTATTTTCGCCCATTGAAAAACAGACACGTAGAAGGAGTTTCGGGTCAAGTCAATTTCTGACACATGGAAGGAGTTTGGGTCCCAACCATTTTCAGGAAATTTCAAGTAGAGGTGACTATTGGTTTTGTTTTAAAACAACTTGTCCAATTAAATGAAGACATGTAGGGCTTGGTTATGGAAGGTCTATTCTATACAAAAGCAATAGCTCATTTTAAAACCCACGAGGATAGGGACTTTGAGAGTTGGAAAATTATTAAGAGTCTACCACTAAGTGAAGTCATGTAATGACTCGGTCATTTTCTTTCCTTTCCTTTTCTCAGATTTTCACGGGATATTTTTTTTCTGTTGATCTTTTCCTTTCTGAGTTCGGTTTCTCGTCACTTAGTGTCATCTTGAGTACTCGGGAATGGTTTCTGAGACTCTTTTATGTGAATTGACGACTTCCTTTAAGGACCGAGTCATTTTTCACATTTTCACTTTTGTGACACTATTTACTTTCGTCTTTTTCTCGGTTGTCACTTTGTTGGCATAACGTCACTTTTCGTATTCGGATTTGATTCCGGTTTTGCATGCATCCACGATATTTAAATTCTATGTTATGTGCATTTTCACTTTTGTAGAAACGCATGTTAAGTGTTTACTTTTCTTGTAAAGGGTATAGACGCATAACCTTTTTGTAATTTTCCTAACTTTAGGGGTTTTTGTGTAAAAACTGTAAAGTAATTATTTTTCGTCTTAAGGACCATTTTGCAAATTAATTTGGAAGATATTTTCAAAAAGGACCTTTTTTGCAATTTTCGGAAAGTGTGACAAGTGTCACACTCTCATTGGTCCACTTGTTGACATTTGTGTGGAGACACTTTGAGACCTTGGATGATGACACATGGAGGGTGAAGGTTCACCCACTTGTTGGTCTAGGATTGGTGCACTTGTTGGCTTGGATGGTTGACAAGTGTAGGCTTAGGATTAAGCCTACAATGGATGCTTGGATGAGTGATAAGTGTATGCTCACAATTTGACCTTGCATTAGTGTGTGTGTGAGAGGTAGTGTAAGAGCACATAGTGAGTGGAGGATCTCTATCCCCTTCACTCACATTTCATCTTCATCATTTTCCATTTCCTCCCTCTCTTGTAAAGAACACCCTAGCCTCCATGGATGGAGCCTAAAGCCTTAAGCTTTGACCTTGATTTTTGAGGGCCTTCCACTCACCTTAGACCTTGAAGCTTGGAACACTTTTTGTTCCCCTTATCCCCCTCTACATAACCCTAGAAGGGTTTGCCATTTTGTGTTGATTTGCCTTGGATTCTAGAGAGACTCTTCTCTAGTGAGGTAGGGGATGTTATAGGGTTATATTTTTGTTTCTTGCATACTTTTGATGCTTTTATAAGTTGTATGCATGTCTTTTGCTAATTTGATAAATTAGTGATTTATCATATCTTGCATATAAATCATTTTAGACTTGGTAAATGGCATGGCCATGAGTTGATCTTTGACATATGTTAATTTGAGATGATTTAGATGAGTTTTCAAATCTAGAGATTAAATGGATTTATTTTGATTTAAATTCTAGTAAATTGTGTTTTTCTTGTATCCCATTTTAGATTTGAGATATGGTATGACCATGATTTGGTGCTTATTGTATATTAATTTGGGATTATTTCAATAACTTTTGAAATCTAGAGATTTAATTAAAATTGAATTAATTAAATTCTATATGAAGGTATCTTGCTCATTTTATACTTTTGACTTGATATATGTAATGAGCATGCTATGTTGTTTAATATAGATTAAATTGAGGTTATTTGGAATAGATTTGAAATCTAGAGAATTTAATTATTTTGTTTAATTAAATTCTAACTATTAGCTCCATGGATCTATTTGCGTTTTAGAAGTTGTTTCTATATATAAATCATGGATTTGGACTTGTTGTGTATTCACATAGTTGTGTTTTGAGCATTGGATAATATTGTTGTTATATTTATATTCATGAGAACATATTTTCTTTATGGAATATATTGTTACCTTGTGTAATGAATTGCACGTTTTGTAATTGACATTATGTATGTCATTATAGAATTGAAACTTAAGGCATGGATTGTGTGGTTTCAACCTACTTGTGCATGGGAAGTGGTTTTCGTACATTATATAAATTATGTATAAGTTGTGAACTTATTTGGTTTATTTTGGATTCTCTTGGGACATGGTTACTAGTAACATGGCTAAAGTTTGGCTCTAGTGCGGGAGGTATGAGTTCTCCCCGATTGAGATAGTGCGCACTTAGGGTGTGCTCGGAATAACCATTGAGGTTTCGGCAGAATTCCGAGCTTAGATGTCCAAGTCTTCCACTATTTGGTTTCGCATTCAATTCCAAGTTAACAATCATGTTTATATTGTAACTTGTGGTTTTGGTTATTGGCGATTTTGATGTTGTTAAGTACATCCATGTTTATGATTTTAATGAATCATTTTGATGTTGTTAAGTACATCTATGTTTATGATTTTAATGAATCATTTTGATGTTGTTAAGTACATCCATACTAAATTGATATATTTAGTTGATTTCACATTTTTAGACTTCTAGTTGATAACCTAGAGAACCTATGTCTTGACGTGTGGTATTAGATATTCTAATTATGCTAAATTGTTATATTTAGTTGATGTTGCATTTTAGACTTTAAGTTGATTACCTTGAGAATCTATATGTTGTTGCTTTGTGTAAGCATGCTCCTATGTTGTTACTTTGTGTAAGCATGACCCTATGTTGCTAAAATTGCACGAATGAGGTGATTGATGCTAGAAATGATCTTAGGTAGCTAGGATGCTCCTTGAGTCTCACCTTTGACATAGACGTTAGGTGGAATGAACCACAATAATTAAATCATGCAAACTTGTAAAACGTAGGTCGATGCATGCTCATTTCCTACGAGTAGCTTTCTGTTACTCACCCCTACGATACTGGGGCATATTTCAGGTACAGGAATTAAAGTTGAGACTCCCATTATGCTTGGATGACTTGTGGACTTGAAGACTTCCATTTTTGTGAAGGTTGGCTCGGAATGCCAATTGTAGCCTTATATGTCAAAATGTATATATTTAATTCCATATATGTAATGTGTACATGAGTATACTCTTTACAATGTATTTGACATGTATGACATGAGGCCGGAGGCCAATAACTTGTATTTTGTATCCTATGTAGTTTTGACTTCATGAAATATTATGAAAATATTAAAAAATGTTAAGTTATTGTCTCACTATGTTTGTATCGGGCGTGGGAATTCATTTTGATTCTTCCATAGGATCTCATTAATCATGCATGAAGTGTGGCCAAGGGCCAAATGGTAATTTCTAATCATTTGTTAATTTTGGTTTTCAAAATTCCATTTTAAATTCATTTTCGCCTTTTTGGCCGTCGGAGGGTCGAATTTTGCATCGGTCGTTTCCGGGAGCCACGGACCATTCCCGCACGTTCAAAATCACTTATTACGTTTGCATGCATATTTGTTTCAGCCTAGAAGTGCATTTGGGGTCAAATGTATGTTTGGTGCAAATTCACATTTTTGCCGTTTTGAGCCTAAACTGAGCATAAGGGCATTTTAGGGTTTTCACATGAAAAATAAAGTTTTATTTTGGCATGATT